TTCCGGTAGTGATTTCGGCACCCAGCTTGTTATTGGTTAAATAAATTGAAATTGACCAATAAAATTAAGGCTGGTGCCGAATCCTATACCATAGTGTTAAAATGCGGCCGGGAGATGGAGGCAGAGTACGGAATACGGTCGAGTAGTAGAGCGGAGTGAGGTCTAGTGCAGTCAATGGTGGCATAAGAATTAGTCAGACATAAATAGTAGTGGTGTATATAAATGTTAAATAAATTAGTGTATTTCTTTTCGTGGAATCCAGTGTTTTAATCCACACCCAAAAGAACCCAAAAAAAACGCTACAATATCATCATCATCGGCGTGTCAATGAGTGTATAAGAAATCGTGGATGCCAAAAATTATTAAAATCAGATAAACATACGTAGGTTTTTACCTTTTTTTTGTCACTCAGCATATTTGAATAACCAGATCTTAGAATTAGGAAGCATCGGCCAAAAAAACTGACCTCGGGTGGCACCCCACATTTGTTATACACCTGTCACTAAATTTTTTTCATTTCAGATCATCCGTAAAATCTAAATTCTATAAAATCTGCTGCGGCGAGGTATTCAAAAGTGCATCGTCTTTATCTAGGCACAAACAGAATCACAACAAAACGGAGCGTCTTTGCCAGATATGTGGAAAAACCTTCGTCGGCGAACACTCGTTGAAAAGTCACATGGCATGTGTCCACACCAAGCCGCACGTGTGCGATATTTGCGAAAAGGCTTTCAGATTGTATTCAGAGTTAAAAGTTCACATAAGAAGCGTTCATTTTAACCAACCTAAACCGCATCAGTGCAAACTGTGCGATAAAAGTTTCGACAAGAATACTTATCTGGTAGAACACGTTAAGGTCGTACATGAAGGAGCTCGTTACACTTGCGACGTTTGCGGAAAAACCACGAAATACAAAACGCATTATAGAGAGCACGTCAAAACGCATAAAGAAGACTACGTAGAGAAACAATACGAATGCAAGATATGTCACGCTGTGCTGAAAACCTCTCATGGATTCAGTCATCATATGGCTAGAAGCCATTACAACAAGACCCAAGTGGTTTGTGACGTTTGCGGTCAGAAACTGTCAGACAACGCCTCGCTGACAATCCATATGCGCAAGCACACCCAAGAGAAACCCTTCGAGTGTGCGGTTTGCGGAAAAGGCTTCCCATCTAAAGGAAGGTTGACTGTGCATAGCAGAGTCCATTCAAAAGAGAAACCTTATCAGTGCTCTATGTGCGAAGCTAAGTTTGCGCAAAATGGGGCTCTTATAATTCATACGCGGTATCATACTGGGGAAAGACCTTATCCTTGCGATCTTTGTTATAAGAAATTCATCACGAAATCTGTGTTGAAACAACATAATTGTAAGGGAGGCTCTTAAGTGAACAAAATGAACAAAAACAAGTACGTTATATGCGATTTAAAGTCTGAGAAACCCTAAGAATGTCCATCTTCAATTGCCAAGCACGTAAAACGAATTTTCCCATATCTGTAACTGAATACAAAACCAAGAACTAAATGAAGAAAGGAGAGAACAAATAGTTTTTCTGTACATGTTTATTTTTCCATTTACGTAACGAATTATGGACATCAAACGGAGAAAATCTCCAAAATAGACATCCACAGTACACACTTACTAAGTTGTAAGCATTATTATTTATATTCTACATATACGAAAATACAATGGCATGATATTCAGTTCAGTAAAAAATTAAACAGAAAATGTGAACGCAGCTTACTAAGGGGTGACCAACTTTCTGTTTTTTATCAAGTGTTTAAACTTTAACCTTTCACATGGAAAATATCAGCAAATTTATCATTTTTATTCAGATTTTGCATTCCAATCAGTGGAGAATTTACACCAATATTAGTTCTACAAAACGGAATATTGATATGTATGTGCAGTTCACTCTTATCGGTACATTTATATTGATTTTCGATGAAAGGTAAAAGCAGTCAGTTTGATTGTTCAATACAGGGTGTCCGCAAAGTTGGGGTTTTCCTTTTCAGAAATAACTACCCTTGAAATAACAAAGGTAATGTGTAGTGAAACGAGGGCGACCAAGTAAAAAAAAGTAAAGGAAAAAGTACTCACTCTCCAGTTGACGACAAGGGCTAAGTACGTCTCTGCCCGAAATCATACCGCTCCAACAGAAAATGAAATCAGCTGATGCGCTACCGAGCAGACGTCGGCTGGAGATCGCGGAGGCCACGCTACGGATCCATTACGTCCGATCCACTTATTCGGAAATGATTCATTCAAAAACTCACGCACTTCGCGTCTAAAATGGGGCGGTGCACCATCGTGCAGAAACCACATTGATTGTCTTACACTTAATGGCACATCTTCTAACAAGGAAGGCAAAATGTTGCGAAAAAAGTCTAGGTATTGCATCCCGTCCAATCGATTTGGGAGAATAAATGGTCCAATGAGCATACCGTTCACCATGCCAGCCCAAACATTCACCGAAAATGTTTGTTGAAAATCTGCCCGACGTGAAACGGATACAGCCCCTCTTCACGCAGCGTTTGCCACACTTCAGTTTTTGATACTTGCACTTCTCTAGCCACGTCTCTAGTGCTTGTTGTTTTTTGAAACGCAATCGATTATACGGGTTCGTTTACCTCTACACGCGTGACCGTAACCGTCGGTTGAAGGTTGCATACTGACCTGACACACTGACCCCGACCCAGTTCTGTCGTCGGGTTGAGCTAGTGTCCTAGTACCACTCGGGGATATCGCGGCTACAGGACGGTATTCAGATATTTTTGATGTTGCAGAGCCCTTTATCTCGGTTCCCTTAAGACATTGGTGTATATGGTACTAAGAAAAATTGCTTATGTTTTCAAGATCTACACGTCGTGTAAAGGAAAACCCCAACTTTGCGGACACCCTGTATATGGCTATTATAGCACCATTTCGTATCTAGTGTAACAACCAGGTCCAGAGTTAATATTGAAATTCTCTATCTGATACGCATACTGCAATAGGTTCATTTGTGAATGTGATTGAAAACCACTTTTTAGTGTTGAGTGGCAGGTCATTTCTCTGACAATAATCTTTAAATTTGTCGATATTAGGTTGTATTTTGATGCAGTCTTGAAGGCTTCCAACTATACGATCTTTAAGTGATCTGCTTAAAGAAGAAACTGGAAATGGCTGAAACATTGTGCGGTATCATTTATATAGATTAGAAATAATAATGGACCTGGGTGGCTACCCTGAGGAACTCCCGACTTTGCATTTATACCCGTTTATACACACGAATAATTCTTTATCGTACAAATAAGATGAAACCCATTTTACACTGTTGTATTATTCAAATGATATTTATACTTCATAGACAAGTAGAAAAAAATGAAGTATTTTTTAAGTATAATTTGAAAACTGTCTACTTGAGAGAAACATTTAATGAGGACCATTTTTGTTCAGAATTATCTCAAACAATTTTAGGAGAGAAAAAACAATAGTTTCTACTTTGTTTAAAAAACTGATTAAATAAATTTGCTCTATGTTACCTCCTGACAAGCCTCTTGATCCATATAAAGGGCTTCTTACAACCAATTATAAAAAAGGCATGTTAGAAAATGTCATCCATGTATGCTGGCATTCTAATTAGAACTAACGCAATCTAGAGGAATTTTTGTACGTTTCTATTGTTATCAACATTCAATGATCTAATAATTTTGACCTGATGAATTTCGTCTGTTCAACGCCGACAAAAGGGTAAAAGCAATTAAACATCGAAATTGTTAAATTTATTCGAATCCAAGAATAAGCGCAAGTCACATACCATATTGACAAAAATATAAAAATTGACGCAGTTTATTATTAAAAGTAAGAAGCAAAAATCTTGCAGACTGAACCGATGTGATATAATCATTAACTGTAACAGCAGTTCTAATAATAAATAATATCAATTCGTATAAATATTTGTTTTATTTATGCCTCATTGCCCAAAACTAATAAAGACTGTTATAGGGTGCATTCTTTTTGTCATGATATTAATTCTAAACTGTTCCAGGGCTGTTCAATTCCAAGCTTTCTACAAGAGGTGCTGTGGACTGGGTTTCCGAAGCGAAAAATCGTACGCCAGACACCAAGAGAGTCACGATAGCGGCGAGGTCGGATGTCCAACTTGTGGCAAGGTTTTTATGAGCATTCATTCTTTGAAAAGCCACATCGCTTGCGTCCACTACAAGCCTCACATCTGCGAAATGTGCGATAGACAGTTCAGACATCGCTCCAAACTTGAGATCCACATCAAGTCTTTCCACTACAACGAACCGAAGCCGCATCAGTGCCAGCTGTGCGATAAGAGTTACAATAAGAACGTCCAGCTGGTCGAACACGTCAAAGTCGTTCACGAGGGCCTGCGTTATCCTTGCATCATCTGCGGAAAGACGTTCGCCTATCAAGCTAAGTGGAGACAGCACATCAAGGAACACTCTGAAGATTACGTTAGGAAGACTTACATCTGCGAACTTTGCAGCACTGTCTTTGAGTCCCGCCACGGGTATAGACACCACATGGCAAAACACCAGAACAAGACTCAGGTTATTTGCGATACTTGTGGCCACGTCGCTTCGGACATCTTCAACTTGAGAATCCATATTCGTAGACACCACAGTACCAAGGAGTCTTTTGAGTGCAACGTTTGCGCCAAGGTGTTTGCTACCGATTCTGGGTTGAGATTGCACAGCAAGATTCATACCGAAGGTAAACCGGAGCCGTCTACATCTGAGTAAATGGCCAAAATTATTGCACTTGGGTAGTAGTTAGTAACTATGTTATAGGTATTGCTTACTGTATTAATCATATGGCATATAGCGATGTAACCATTTTATGTTTTCTGAATAAATTTTAGTGGGGTGTAATTGTTTGGTTCTATTATCTTGGATACGAAATACTTAAGGGACAAAATAAAGTTTTTCACTCAGAAAATAGTTTGTATTTTTCAAAGAAATAAGTGAGAAGACAGCGTATATACGAAATGTGCGATAGACAGCTCAGCCATCGCTCAAAACTCGAGATCTACATCAAGTCTTTCCACTACAACGAACCGAAGCCGCATCAGTGCCAGCTGTGCGACAAGAGTTACAATAAGAACGTCCAGCTGGTCGAACACGTCAAAGTCGTTCACGAGGGCCTGCGTTATCCTTGCATCATCTGCGGAAAGACGTTCGCCTATCAAGCTAAGTGGAGACAGCACATCAAGGAACACTCTGAAGATTACGTCAGGAAGACTTACATCTGCGAACTTTGCAGCACTGTCTTTGAGTCCCGCCACGGGTATAGACACCACATGGCAAAACACCAGAACAAGACTCAGGTTATTTGCGATACTTGTGGCCACGTCGCTTCGGACATCTTCAACTTGAGAATCCACATTCGTAGACACCACAGTACCAAGGAGTCTTTTGAGTGCAACGTTTGCGCTAAGGTATTTGCTACCGATTCTGGGTTGAGATTGCACAGCAAGATTCATACCGAAGGTAAACCGGAGCCGTCTACTTCTGAGTAAATGGCCAAAATTATTGCACTTGGGTAGTAGTTAGTAACTATGTTATAGGTATTGCTTACTGTATTAATCATATGGCATATAGCGATGTAACCATTTTATGTTTTCTGAATAAATTTTAGTGGGGTGTAATTGTTTGGTCTATTATCTTGGATACGAAATACTTAGAGGATAAAATAAAGTTTTTCACTTAGAAAACAGTTTGTATTTTTCAAGCGAAATAAGAGAGAAGAAGAGAGACTTTGGTTGAAATTCCAGATACGCCAGAACTTTTGATAGCACTGATCAACAGCCAAAAAATATCCTAAATAAAGTCAACAAAATATTACTATTTTTAATGTGCTAAAACCGGAATGAAACTTATTTTCTCAATATAAGTTCAAGTTTTAGAGATACGATAATTATATGTGTTCCTGCTGTGACAGTGTTAATATACTGTAATTCACAAGAATGCACGTGCTACATCTTTATATTCGGCAAGAAAAGATGATGTAATCGGCATGATTGTGTTACGTTATACATACGTGTACATTATATTGTTTTATATTAGCCATTTTTTCCTCAGTTGGCTGACAGCGTTCATGCAAGATGTCTCGAAAGATCAGGTTTGTTACGTGTGTGGTGATGTGACTTTTGCGTCTGAGAGACGGTTCATTACTCCACTAATAACAAAGGCATATCAGCTTTATTTCGGTTGTAAACTAGGTGATCAAGACAAACAGTGGGCACCCCACATCTGCTGTAATACATGTGCTTCAAGTCTGAGGAGCTGGTTAAATGGCAAAAAACGGTCTATGCGCTTTGCTGTCCCAATGGTTTGGAGAGAGCCTACAAATCATATTAATGATTGTTACTTTTGCATGGTACCTTGTGTTGGACAAGCCACAGGTATGTCCAAGAAAAAAAATTCGGTTATTAACTACCCAAACATACCATCTGCGATGAGACCTGTGCCTCACAGTGACGAAAATCCTATTCCAAAACCCCCAGAATCCTACATTTGCGAATCAGAAAACGAATCAGATCATGGCGATCGAGTGATTCGTCAGGAAGAAGATATGCCATCAACGTCAAGAGATCCTGATTTTATACCGAGCACGTCATGCCACCAACCGCACAAAATAACACAGTCAGAATTAGATGTAAGATTTAGAACTTCCAAAATGTAAGGCAGAGTTACTTGGATCAAGACTGCAGCAGTGGAACTTGTTAGAAGACGATGTTTTGGTATGTGTTTTTCGTAAACGCCACAAAGACTTAGAACCATTTTTCAATATGGAGAATAACTTGGTTTTCTGCAGTAACATTAACGGCTTACTGGCGGCTTTAAATATAAACTATAACCCAGAAGAATGGAGATTGTTTATAGACAGTTCAACATTGAGTTTAAAGGCAGTGTTGTTGCATATTGGAAATATTTTACCATCTCTTCCTGTAGGGTATGCAGTTCACATGAAAGAATCATATGACAATATGAAGTACCTATTGACATGCATAAAATACGATGAGCACCAATGGCATATTTGTGGCGATTTGAAAGTTGTTGCACTTTTACTTGGGCTGCAGCTAGGCTACACAAAGTTTTGCTGTTTTTTGTGTGAATGGGACAGTCGGGCAAAGGCACTTCATTACACCAGACAAAACTGGCCTGTTCGTCAATTCCTAGAGCCAGGTCAAAAAAATGTACAGCATATGCCTTTAGTAGATTCGAAAAAAAATTTATTACCACCACTGCATATCAAGTTGGGCCTAATGAAAAACTTTGTCAAGGCATTAGATAGAGATGAGTCAGCTTTTCAATACCTGCGTCAGAAATTTCCAAGACTAAGTGAGGCAAAGGTTATAGAAGGTATTTTTGTTGGGCCACAGATTCGAAATATTTTGAAAGATACACAGTTTGAAAACACTTTAACAGGTACTGAAAAAACTGGAGCCGTAAGTGATAAGCACGGCGAACGTTTTCATCAGGAACAATGGAAAAAGGTACCAGGGAAAGTGGAATCCTTCCATGCTTGCAGACTACTGTTGGACTCTTGATAGAGATGCTCCAGAAACGATCCATAAAAGAACAGCAAAAGACAGCGCATATAGTGATTCTTATAAGTATATGAATCTTGTTACTTTTTTAACATATCCTTAAAAATAAAAAGTTTTTTTTCTAAACCGCAACTAATTTTTTTATTTCATTGTCATTTTTGGATTCAGCGCCCCAAAATTAACAAAGAATTGCACTTTTCCCACAAGATACAATTAAAAAACTAAAATTTGTTGTCCAGTGATAGTTTTCTTCTTTAAAAATAATGAACATTTCCAAATGCTGACTTCGACTTCTATAATGCACGTGGTGCTAAGGAATATACAGGGTGGCGCATCGAAAACGAAACAGACGCATTTATGCGCCACCCTGTATAGCAACTCTGTTTATTTTAACAACTAGCGTTTGGCTATGGCAATGTATGATATACTAAAATCAGAATCGAAACTAAAAATCTAATCTCCTCTGCAAAAATTCAATCTATAAGAAAAGTTGATCATGTTGCAATGTCAAAGTAGTTTTCTAACATACAGTGTTTGAAGAGTTACTTTTTCTCTTCCTGAATTCACTAAATCAAGTGCAGAAACAGATGTGCTCCAAGGAACTGAGGTAGTATATAAACTGCTCAATATACAACATTTTTTCTTCATGAATTCATGTTTTCAGGTCAACTACGATGCCAGAAGAACGCAGTAAGGCTTTCAGCTGTGGCGAATGCAAGAAGACCTTCTCATCAGCAAAAAACCTGAGTCGGCATCAAGGCAGCCATAACGACAAAAAATTCCCCTGTGAAATGTGCAACAAGGTCTTCTACAGGAAAGCTAACCTCAAATATCACCAAAACTTCAAGCATTTCCGAAAATTCACTTGCAAATGTTCGTACTGTGATCAAGTGTGCTTGAGCAAAAAGGGCCTGAAGGTGCACATTGATAACGTACATCTGAACAAATATAAGTTCGGTTGCGACAAGTGTCCAAAAAGTTACAACTCCAGGAGCAAACTGGCCAAACACATCAAGTTTGACCACGAAGGGGAACGTCATCAATGCCCTTTGTGTGACAAGGTTTTCAAAGACGAACGGCACTTCAACATGCACACGAATTCGCACGATCCCGGCTACAGCAAACCTCAGTTCACTTGCGAGGTGTGCCACAAGGTCCTTGGCATGAAGTCCTACGACCGCCATATGAAGATGCACTCAGGAGAGAACTACACGAACATCGTGTGCGACTTATGTGGCAAGTCCATGTCCACCAAGAGCCATTTGACCAACCATAGACGTACGCACACCGGAGAGAAGCCTTACGAGTGCAATTTCTGTCAAAAAAAGTTCGCCAGGAACGAGACTTTGATAGCGCATAGGAGGATACATACAAAGGAAAGACCTTACGTGTGCGAAGTGTGCACGAAAGCGTTCACGCAAAAGTCGGCTTTGACTATACATATGCGGTATCATACTGGTGAGAGGCCTTACCAGTGTGTGATATGCCAGAAGAAGTTTGTCACGAAGACATTGCTCAAAGGACATAATTGCGAGGGGCCTCCTGGTACCTAGAACATGAACGCGGTTTTTAACAAGGACGTACTCACACTGGAGGGAGACCTTACGAGTGTAATTTTTGTCAAAAGAAGTTTGCCCGGAACTTTAACAGCACGTAGAAGGCCCAAGGAAAGACCCTATCTGTGTGAGGTCTGCACGAAAGCGTTCACGCAAAAGTTTGCATTGACACATTACTGGTGAAAGGCCTTACGAATGTGCGGTATGCCAAAAGAGGTTTGTCACCAAGACATTGCTCAAAGGACATAATTGTGAGCGCCCTCCTGGTCGCTAAAAACAAACGCGGATTTTAATAAAGACGTACTCACACTGGAGAGAAACTTTACGAGTGCAATGTGTGTCAAAAGAAGTTTGCTCGGAACTTTGATAGTTCATACGTACCAAGGAAAGGCCTGATGTATGTAAAGTGTGCACGAAAGTGCTCACGCAAAAGTCGGCTTTGACTACACATATGAGGTATCATACTGGTGAAAGACCTTACGGGTATGTGATGTGCCTTAAAGGTTTGTTACCAAGACATTGTTCAAAGGACATAATTGTGAGCGCCCTCCTGGTCCCTAAAAACAAATGCGGATTTTAATAAAGACGTACTCACACTGGAGAGAAACTTTACGCGTGCAATGTGTGTCAAAAGAACTTTGCTCGGAACTTTGATAGTTCATACGAGGATACGTACCAAGGAAAGGCCTGATGTATGTGAAGTGTGCACGAAAGTGCTCACGCAAAAGTCGGCTTTGACTACACATATGAGGTATCATACTGGTGAAAGACCTTACGGGTGTGTGATGTGCCTTAAAGGTTTGTTACCAGGACATTGTTCAAAGAACATAATTGTAAGGGGCCTCCTGGCACCTAGAAACATAAACGCGGTTTTTAATAAGGACGTACTCACACTGGAGAGAAACCTTACGAGTTCTTTTAAATCTGAGGTGTTATAAGAGACGAAAAATCTATTGAATAAAAGGATTTTCTAAATAAAAAAAATTCAGAGTCGTTGGGAGAATTGCCAGAAAATTCGGAGTGGTGTATACAAGGTCTTATCTGTTTGGACTTGTTCAAAACTAAGCTCAATATTGATCTTCAAATGAACAAAATTTGCCTTAGGCTAAGGAGAGCTCAAAATGCCTCTCATTTAATATTGTTAGGCATATTTTTTTATTCAATAAATATTGTTATTAAATACTTGTTTAATTATTACATCCATCATAGTAATAATTCATTTTGCGGGGTGATTAAAAAAACAGTGGCGATATTTTTAGAGCAGTAAAAAATACATTAAAACACAATATAAAAATAATCATTTATCGCGTTGCCTTTTTTAAGAATTCTTAAGATTC